ATTTACCTCCGCCAAAATGACGTCGTATGGGGGAGGGTATTTAAACCCAAATCCGGCCAAAGAAGGACCATTTTCTTCATTTCACTCTTTCAGCTTCTCTCTCATAGAGAGAGAAGCTCTCAACTCTCTCTAAATTCCATCAACGAAGAGACGCCAGTCACCGACAGGCAACCGTTCGCCGGCATTGTCTGCCGCCGCCGGCCACCACCCATGGCATCCGAAAAATGCCAAACTATACTAAATAGAAGCTCTCAACCTCCTAAACACGATTCCAAGCCTCTTTTCTCCTAAAAACCTCCCAAAATCTGTAGATCTAAGTTTATACCTTCGGTTCTTCAACTCTCCGATGGCGTGTGGATGCAACAACAGTGGTTAGTCTTCTCCTTTTCGTATGAATGCTTGTTGTTGTGTTATATTTCTCTACTTCTTGCTTTGTATGAATGCTCCCTCTTGCTGTTGTGTGTGTTTCATTTTCGTTGCAGGTTTGCCTTTTATAGGCCTTGGTGAGCCATCTGAGATGGTGGTTTCTTCGGTGGGTCATCGGACCTATGGTGGTGACTCACCATAGACCGATGTGTTGTGCGGTCGAAATTATTCTTCTGGAGCCTTTGGGAGAGATCTGGAGAGGTGGTGGGAGTGTGGCTTCCCTCGATTAGAGCACATAGAGGCGGTGGCCGGAATAGGCCCTAGGGTGTAATGAAACCCTAGGGCTTCAGCTGGATGATTGTGGACCCTTGGATCTCTTTTGATCGAATGGTAATAACGTGTTGACGGTGCTAGAGTTATGTGGAAACCCTAGTAGTATTTAGGCCAATTTGGGCCTGTACCGAGTTGTTGGGCCTGGATGGTTCTGGGCTTGATCTGGACCTAGCTCGGGTTTATTTATAACCGGGCCTGGATTTGTTTTGTAATTTGGGCCTTCGGGCTTTGTAAATAATAATAATACTAATATTAATATTATTATATAATAGATACGTCACTCGGATAAAAATAATTATCGACAGCTGTCTCTCTTTGCTTATTTTTGTGTTAACAAGAATAAAGCAAAGATAAAAAAGACAAGAAGTTTTCGTCGAGTGAACTTCATACTTTGCTGGTAAATTTGTTCCACTACTCTTTCGTGGAGATCGAATTTTGATCTGATCTTGCTTCACTACTCTTTTGTGAAGGCTGAATTTGATCGACTTCACTACTCTTCTGTGAAGGTTAAATCGAATTACTTCACTACTCTTCCGTGAAGGTTGAATTGAATTGAAAAATCTGTTTCACTACTCTTCCGTGAAGATCATATTCAATGTTGATTTGCTTCCACTACTCTTCCGTGGAGATTAGATTGACTTGAAAAGAATTTGTTTCACTACTCTTTCGTGAAGGTTGTATATGACTTGAAAAGAATCTGTTTCACTACTATTAAGTGAAGACTAGATTCGAGGTTGATTTCATTCCACTACTCTTTCGTGGAGATCTTACGAATGGCCCTAAGGACTTATCATATTGCTCGAGAGACTGACAGATGACCCAAAGGATTTATAAATTACCCAAAGGTTTTACAAATTACCTAAAAGTTTTACAAATGACTTGGAGACTTTACAAATGACCCTGAGGCTTTACAAATGACTCTGAGGCTTTACAAATGACCCTGAGGTTTTACGAATGACCCTGAGGCTTTATAAATGATCCGGAGGCTTTACAAATTACCCATAGGCTTCACAAATGACCCTGAGGCTTTACAAATGACCCGGAGGCTTTACAAATTCATGGAAAATAATTTACTAGGCAAGAAACTTTTTACTTTTCAAAAATTTCATTTTCTAAATGAATTAAATGAGAAACTTTGAAAATCATTTTTCTCATTTTCATGCAAAAACATCCTCCCCTGAGGTTTTACAGATGACCCGGAGGTTTTACAAATTACCCGGAGGATTTAATTTTCTTGAACATTAAATGAGAAACTTTGAAAATCACTTTTTCATTTTCATGCGAAAACATCCTACCCTGAGGTTTTACATATGACCCAGAGGATTTACAAACGACCCAGAGGATTTAATTTTCTTGAACATTAAATGAGAAACTTTGAAAGACGCTTTCTCATTTTCATGCAAAAACATCCTACCCTGAGGTTTTACAGATGACCCGGAGGATTTATAAATTTGTGGGAAATAATTTAATGGGTAAGAAACTTTGTAAATCATTTTCTTACTTTTCAAGAATTTTATTTTCTAGAAAAGATTTAAATGAGAAACTTTGAAAATCGTTTTTCTCATTTTTCGAAGCAACTTGTTGGTTAGGCATGCCCCAAAATTAATGCTTTCTTTGCATATTGCGTCCATCTATTCTTCATATGCTTTGCTTTTCCTAACATGCTTCCTGTACTTGGGATTTGAATTCTACTTTCCATTTTAAAGTATTTTGTCCCTGCATCTTTATGTGAAAAATGTATTTATGCAAATGCAATATAATGCATGATACTTTATGCAAATGATGTTCTTATGAATGCAAAATGTCGGTTCAATCTTCATTTGACTCCAAAGTTTGATCTTCTTCAACTTGATCATTTCTTTCTGGGATTAACTTTAGTCATCAGTGTAGCAGCTTATGTTATCAAACTTACATATATGAAGAATTATCTGATCAACATGTATCTTGATTTCTTCTTTGAATGTACTTGTATAGAAATCCAATAAAGCTTTTCATCTTTGAAAAGAGAATATATCATCTTTACATAAAGTAGATATAACTTAGCAGAGATTAATCAGGAGAGCAACATCTGTTCTGATTTGACTCTTGAAACACATCATAAGAATGATTTATCCTAATTCCTTTCATGTCTCCACATCTAATCAGATCTCGAACAAAACCATTCATATCATATTATGTCGAGATGTTTAGCAACAATCCATCGTTCAATATTAGTTGACTCCACTAGTTTTTTGTTGTTAAAATTTTAACTTCCCTTTTTTGGAAATAAATATTTATCATTTCTCATTTGTGAATCTTGAGATTTTACAATCCTCATCTTGATTTAACAGATAAGAATACCACATGATCACAACATTGGTTTAGCACCATAATTATTGGTTCGTGAAACATTTGACAACACATTCATCATTTCCTGTGGCTTCTGTCTAGGTTTCTCAACCAGGGAAACTCTTTGCATGGTATTTAGAGCTTTTGTATACTGTCATAATGATATTTCAATGAAAATAGAAGTGGGATCATATCAGGGAACATTTTACAACACATTTATCCTTTCTTGTGGCTTTTGTAGGGATAATGTAATCGTATGGTAGATAAAATAGTGATGTATGGTCAACTTTACTATCATTGTTTCACCATTTTCATTCTTCATACCTTTATGTTTCATTGGAAATATTTTCTCAGATTAACGATATTTCCATATGAATTTCTGACTGCCCCAACATTTTCTAATACAAACGTTCAAAATGCACTCAACATTGTTTCTTGTGATATGAGCCTTCAAAATGCCCCATATGAATTTCTGACTGACATGGGCCTTCAACATGTCCCAATATTCCAATTTGTAAGGCTTACTCTCAATTTTTGTTTAATTTGAATATCATGATTCCCTCGAGGTTCAACTTTGATAATGCCTCATTGTGGGTACTCGTAGCTCTATTCGTGCCAAATCTTTTAATCTTGAATACTCTCATTCCAATGTTACTAAACATTAGTGTTGTCAAGTAATCTTAGGAAGTGATTAATCCTTCTAATAAAATGTCTGAGATATGTGCCTTTTCCAAATGAAGTGATTTTCTTTTTCTTAACAAATCGCATTCTTTGCCTTTTTGCTATACTCTGGGATACGTGCCCTTCTTTCGAATGAGGTGATCATCTTCTTCTTGATAGGTTGTCACAAAGGAATATTATAAGTTTAATTCCCTAGACCCAAGAATGTGAAATGCTTCCTCATTCTGACCTTACTTATTCTTTTTTTCAATAAGGGTAGAATAAACATTAACTTGATTCAAGAACCTTTATCATTTGAGACTGTCCTGTTTGAAAATGTTTTTCCTTCTTTCTTTATCAAAGAATAAAAGAATTTTGTAAAATATTTCCCCTTTACAGGTTTACAATAGAATCAGATCAAAAGCATGAGTTCAAAGAATATCAAAATAATCAACAGTTCTTTAATGTTTCAAAATTATAGCTCTTTGACAAGTATCAAGATTGAGAGGTTAGTTTCAGGTTGGCTTCCCTATTTTCTATGGTTTTATCTTAATGAATATGTCACTCCTCTTTCACTCTTTGTGAACATTGTCACATGCCTCAATTTTTTGACTTGGTATTTTAACCTGATGCGTACAAAACGACGCAATTAGCATAACCAATTACTAGGCCTTCTAGGATACCTCTATTTCAGTTCTCTGAAATCTTTGATTCTACCCAAAGCAGTGTGAAAATATCGATCTAACAATGAAATTTTTGTATGCATGTGTGTAAAGTAGACTATAACAAGTATTATTCCGTTCTTTTATAACAACTTCTTCTTTTTCCATTTTGGCTAGCTGAATTCAGCTTTATTATAATTAACCTTCATTGGGCTAATTGAAACTTATCCATAAAGCCAGGGCTATTAACCAATTGCTCTAGAGGGACAACTTTATTACATATAAAAATAACATGGGTATACAACTCCACCTTCTCAAGCTTGTTAAGAAAAACCTGTTATAGTCTAAGTGATTTGGTGGAAGTCAGAAAATCTCAATACCAGATTTCAATTGCCAAGAAACTGACTTAGACTAGATTTGTAAAAGTTTCATCATCGAATATCATCAATAGAAAAATAATTTAGTCAGTTTTGCAATGTCATGCAAAAGATGCCCCACGTTGTACACTTCTATATATAAATACCAAGCCTATTGTCTAATTCCTTACACTGGAGAAGGCTCTCTCATATTTGTAATAGGGTATAATGTTTGGGTATATTTCATCTGAGGTAAGGTCAGGGTCCTTTTTTTATTGGTTTTCAATCTTGATACTTTGTCAAAGATGTATAACTCTAACCATAAAGAGTTTTTAATCCAGTGATATTTAAAGAACTGCAAGATTGTAAAATTGATTCAATGCTCATAACCTTCAAAGTAACACAAATTTATTAAAAAAGAGGCGGAGAAAGGAACAAAAACATGTTCAAACAAGATGCTACAAAATGAAAGGTGCAATAGTGGTATATAACAACTTCCACTTATTTATCTAACTGCCCCATTACTTATTTGGATGTAATATGTGTAGTCGGACTTGGGTCTTTATCTATATTTTCCTCCCATTTCTTGGGTAGCTTCTTTGGATGAGCCTTCAGATTCAAAAATCTCTACTTTCTCCTGAGTAACTTTTTGGTCAAATTTCATCATCATCTTTTCCTTCCCTGACTGAATATTAGGCTCAAAGTTAGTTTCAGAACAAATTTTTGTAGTGATGTCCTGGTTTTGGACGCTCCTTGCAGCTGTGATTGGAGTAGTATTCACTAGACTCTGTGATTGTAATGGTGTTTTTAGGGTTGTATCTGCCCTATTTCTTCTTAAACCTGTAGGCTAGTCTCGAATTACTATTCCTTTCACTTTTTCATTTCTCATCTTTATCTCACTCATCAAAGAAGTATCGAGAGTTGAATCTGACATACAAACTTCATCTTCCTTGGCTTTGCCTTATCCTCTATTTGTTTTGACACTGTCAACTTCATTTTGGGGGTTGACTCCCAAATGTTTGATCAAAATAGATTGACTATTAACATCAACTTCTATAATTCTATGAGTCAAAAGATCTTAAACTCGTCGTTTGAAGTTGCCACAATTTTCGATGGAGTGTCCTCAGATTCCAGTATGATATTCACAGAAGACTTTTTTATTATACCATGTTGAGTAAAGAGGTATCAAAGGTTTAGCCAAACATGGGGCAATAAGCTTGGCTTTGTATAACTCGTAATATAACTTTCCGCATGAGATTGAAGGAAAACGGGATAGAAATTCCCTTGACATCATTGTCTCTTTACTATTGCTTTCCTGAAGACCTTGTAACCGATAATCAAATTGTTCGTTTTGAATATTTGATTCTTGACCAACATTATGAGAGAGATGGTGATTTGAAGATTTCTCTTTCTCAACCAGGTTTGAGTTTATGAGGAGCTTAGGTTTCCCATTTTCGAAACATAACAACCCTTCTGTTATAAGGTCATGGACTTTTAATTTCAGAATTATACAATTTCTATAGAGTGACCAAAATAACCAGAATGATAATTGCATGAACTCTTGACATTTTGCCAATTTGGATGCAAATGAGTACTAGGAGGAATGGGTTTTACAAGACCACTTTCAAATAGAATGGGTTTTACAATACCACTTCAAATATAAAGGGTAACAATTCTGAATAAGAGATTGTAATTGGAATGAGATGTGTCATCCTCTTTTCCTTCTTACATTTTTAGCCTTTTTTAATGGGAATTGGTCCTCTTTCATGTTTCTTTTCTTTGAACTAAATTCAATTTCCATGTCCTCTGTCATATTTCCCAATCCTTGAAGCTGAGTTAGATTTCTAAATTCCCTAACAGGTTCTTGGTCATTCATTATCGTAGTATTTCCATTCACATTTTCTTCCATGGCTTTTATCCTTTCCTGCTCAATAGGGTCTTCTAACATTTTCTCCCCATATAGTATAGTAACCATCATATTCATTATCTTAGACATCTGTTCCCTGGACTCAACTTGGAACATTTTTGTTTCTTTAAACATTTCTCGTTGAATCTCTACAAGTTTCTCTTGGATTCTTTCAATGTTTTCAACTCGTGCTAGTATTCCATTCATTGTTTTCAATCTTTTAGAGACCTTCCCCAATTTCGAATGTACTTTTAGAACCCCTGATTTTGAAATCTTTCACTGATTACTCCCATGTTTTCATGATTGACACATGTTATCATGCTATGCAAAAACTGAGTGTAAATACAAATGCAAATGTGCATGTATGTATGAAAAGGTGTAATTCAAGAGTGATCATCTTAAAATAGCTTTCATTGAACACAAAAGGTTTTTGGTACATCTAAAAGATCATTACATATATGGGATAGTTTTTCCTCCTAATTTCTCTATCTCCTTAAAAAGCCAATTTAATTTCCATTTATGCTCAAGAGTTGAGTTATCATCTTGCTTCAATTCCCTTGTAAAACCAGCTAAGTCCACCAGCTTGTGGGCCACATCGCTTGTTTGGGCATCAACTTTCTTTATGTCATTATCTTTCTCTTGAATCTTACTTACAATCTCCTAAAATTGTAGACAAAATTGTTCATTTTCCCTCATAAGAGAGCCCTTGTGTTCAAGAAGTACTTGTACAAGATCTCTATAATCATCTACCATCTTCATCAATGTGTGGTTCTTGGCTCTAGTGGATTTTAATTCAGCATCAATCTCAAACTGGCAGAACTGATATGAAGCTTCTATATTAGCTATAGTTTTCTTCAACATCTGGTTTTTAGCTTGACATTTTCCTAAATTGATAATGGTTGTATTGCACATTTATTCTCTAATCTGTAAATCAGAGAAAATTTTCTTTGCTTGCTCTTCATGCATCTTTTTCCAATGATCAACACCATTTTTATAGTTTGATGATCCCTGTTACCCATTCTTATGGGGTATTTCCTAATCCAACATTCTTGAAGGTTTGAAAGATTTTTCGAAAATCATTAAGCATGGCTTCAACCTCTGTGCTCAATTTCTTGTTTTCGTCTTTCCAAAAACGGGCTTGAGCTTCATAAAAACTCTCTCCTTTCTGACTGCTTTTATTGATGCTCTTACCACAAAATGCTTTTGGTACCAATCTAACAGAATCTTTTGGTACATAGCTTTCAACATTTTTAAGGGATTCATCAAGATACCAGTCCTTGACTTTGTTATAGTTCACTTGATCATAAAACCTTTTGTCCATAATGAAAACCTTTGATTTTGATGATCACTCTTGAATCAACACCCTTGATTATGTCATGATTATGCAATATAAGCAAAAGAAATCAATGTAAACTAAGTAGATAAAATGTGTCTACAGGAAATTAGAAATTGTTGGTACAAATTAATATAAGAAAAAAGATTATATACATCCTAACCTCATTCTTTCTAGTTCCATGTTTTGTTTGGAAAATTACTTAACCGCATGATTTCTAGTTCGTATGCATTTGTTCAGAAAAATAAAGTAATACTAAATAAATTAAAAAGACTCAACATGCTTTTCCTCGTGTACTAACCTTACCAGACTCATTTGGGTTAGGTTCCACCTAGACTCAAGTTCTAAGTTTTACTATATGATGGGTTTTGGCCCTAAGGTAAAAAGGGTCAACGAATTTTCCTTTGTTGGTGAGCCCTTGGACTGCCAAGCCCTCAATCCTGGTCCATTACAAACTTTCAGATCAAGTTCAATTCAAAGGAACATACTTCCTTATGTCCATACGGAGGTGAAAACCACACGAGGAACATAAGGTGTGAGCTCAAGGAATGGTCCCTTATCCCATACGGAGGTGAAAAACACACGATAGAGTAGTTTCTCATTCAAACTAAATAGGATAAGAGCGGGTTTTTAGCTCATGTCATGAAATGCAGTGCACAGTGGGTGAGAAAAGCATAACATAAAAAAACAATGTACAACCTATTATTTTATTCTAAAAACTTTATTTAAATCTGTACACATAAAAAACAAAGTTAGCATGATTAATAAAATTATTAAGGAAAAAGAACTAAATTTAAAAAAATTATAATTTTATTGCAAAGATAATTATTAATAAACTGGTGGCTTGGCTCTCTTTTTAAAAATTTCCCAGTAGAGTCGCCAAACTGTCGAGACGTTTCTCTGCCTGGTGACGGAGAGTGTAAATCGTACACCTAAGTGTAGTTAGTCTCGAAAAAGTAACTGTTTATCTTCCTTGAATCAGATAAAACACTAAATTATAGAGTTGCCACAAATCTTTTTAATGTGGTGAGATTTGTCACCAAAATGTTATATTATTCTAATAAAATTCCTGAGAATAATATTAAAATAATACAACAAAAGGGTATGATTACCATAAAAATAAGTTCGGGAGTCGGTTACGTGTAGGGAAGGATTAGTACCCCTACCACACCCAAAAATTAGTACCGGTGTTTATTAATTAATTTGTCTTTACAGTAAATTAATAAATTTGTATTTAATTTAAATTTATAATCCCAAAATAATAGGAATATCATTTCACACCAATAATCATTTTAAAATACCTTCATAATTAATTAAGAAGATATTTAATGATCTATTATATGAAATAATACAACTTAGATACACATATATAAAATAATGATTAAAAATATCAAAATATCAAGTTATTACTGCACAAGTTACATATTTTAGGTACTAAAATATAAATATCCTACAATAATATTAAATATTAAAATTAAATTATAAATTATTAAAATTAAAGAACATATTTGGAAATTTTACGAAAACTGCGTACTAATAATGTAATGTATCCTAAATTATTATACGGATTAAATTATAACTTAATAAAATAACAGGATTAAAAATATAATTTTAACCTAAATTTATATAAATATAGGTAGGGACTAACATCAAAACAACTAAAATGCAAGAACCAAATTAAAATGTGCAAAACCTGATTTCGGTTACCATAATGTGAGAGTACAAAACTGAAAGGACCACAATTGTAATTTACCCGTACAAAAATTACAAAGACACCCTCCCCCAAAACGACGTCGTATGAGGGAGGGTATTTAAACACAAATTCGGCCCAAGGAGGACCATTTTCCTCATTTCTCTCTTTTAGCTTCTCTCTCCTAGAGAGAGAAGCTCTCAACTCTCTCTATATTTCCTCGACGGAGGGTCACCGATCACCGGCCGATAACCGTTCGCCGGCATCGTCCGCCACCGTCGGCAACCACCTATGGTGGCTGAAAAATTGCCAAACTACACTAAATCGAAGCCCTTAACCTCCTAAACACGATTTTGAGCCTCGTTTCTCCTAAGAACCTCCCAAAATATATAGATCTAAGTTTATACCTTCAGTTTTTTAACTCTATAATGGCGCGTGAAGGCGCGTGGATGCAACAACAGTAGTAAGCCTTCTCCTTTTCGTATGAATGCTTATTGTTGTGTTATATTTCTCTGCTTCTTGGTTTGTATAGGTACTCCCTCTTGTTGATGTGTGTGTTTCATTTTCGTTGCATGTTTGCCTTTTATAGGCCTTGGTGAGCCATCTCTGATGATGGTTTCTTTGGTGAGTCACCGGACCTATGATGGTAACTCACCATAGACCGATGTGTTGTATGGTCGAGATGCTTTTTCTGGAGTCTTCGGGAGAGCTCTAAAGAGGCGGTGGTAGCTTGGCTTCCCTCGATTGGAGCACTTGGAGGCGGTGGTCGGAATAGGCCCTAGGGTGTAATGAAACCCTAGGGCTTCTACTGGATGGTTGTGGACCCTTGGATATCCTTTGATCGAATGGTAATAATGTGCTGACGCCGCTGGAGTTATGTGGAAACCCTAGCAGCATTTAGGCCAATTTGGGTTTGTACCGGGTTGTTAGGCCTAGATGGTTCTGGGCTTAATCTGGACCTAGCTCAGGTTTGGTTGTAACGGGCCTAGATTTGTTTGTAATTTGGACCTTCGAGCTTTGTAAATAATAATAATAATACTAATATTAATATTATTATATAATAGATACATCACTCGGACGAAAACAACTGTCGACAAAAACAACATAAGAAGTTAGAATAAAACAAAGGGAAAATACTCAAGAACCGATATGGAAGGCAATTTATGCATACGAAGGAACCCAAAAAGTGAAAATATTTCTATGGCTGGTTTACAAGGGTAAAATCCTGACAAATGCAAAAAGGTTTCGATGACATCTTACAGTCGATGGAAGTTGCCCTCTTTGTGTGACACAAACAGAGGATATAAACCATATTTTTTGACACTGCATTATTGTGACCCCCATCTGGACAACACTGGTGAAAAACGAGAGCATACAAAATTTCCTAACAATGGACATAAGGAATTGGATTGAAGTGAAGTTAACAATACCCAACATGTTTGCTAAAGAAAGTAAAGACTGGGAAATCCTATTCGGCACGGTATTGTGGAACATATGGAACACGAGAAACTCGATAAGCAACGCAATTAGAGACAAAGACCAAGCAAGCAAATCATAGCCTATTGAATCGGTTGGTCCAACGGTTTGGCTACCTCCACTAGAGGGATGGAACAAACTTAATACAGATGCAGCCCGTAGAAATACAGATGAAAAAGAGGCATGTGGAGGAGTAATCAGAGATATGAATGGACAATAGAGGATCGACTTCAAAAAATTCATAGGAATATGCTCTACAATGGAAGCAGAATTATGAGGAGTATATACAGTTCTAATGTGTGCATGGGAACAAGGAATCCAACAAATCATAGTTGAAGTAGATAACCTCGAAGCAATACAGATACTAAAGAATAGCACAAACAAATAAGGAAATCTAACCATAACAATGCACATAAAGGAATTGATGAACCGAGCTTGGAATGTCAGACTGCAACATGTCCTCAAAGAGGGAAATAAAATTGAAGATAAACTAGCAAGGAGCATCAATTTCGAAGATAGCCAAACCAGAATCATACATGAACCTCCTATTGATATAAGCCAACTCTTGAATGAAGAACTCAATTAGGTTTAAGTAATTAGGTAGTTTTCATTTTCTTATTAAAAAAAGTCATAATCGTTTTTAAAATAATATTTATTTGTTTTACAAAAAAAGGGTTATGACACTGGTTATTATTCATATTACTCACC